ATTCTATAACTTAAAAACTACAATTCACATCTTGGCAAATGATAGCTCATTTGAAAGAGCATAAAAAAGTAGGAAATACATCAAAAATTATTTTATCCAAAACTCAATAATTATTGGCCTGGGAGGCCCGGTATGTCTAAATATCAAACTTTTAACAATTTATAGCACCAACAAGAATAGGAATTTTAAAAAGTTATGATATGGAAAATGTAGATAATTTAATTCTCTATCAAGATAAAATATAAAAATATTTTATTCAATCAGAGCACCGGGAGAAAAGGTAGGTATTTTATTGTGTTTATACTAGAATTTATTGTGTAGATCCAATTAGTGCACTGAATAGAGCTCAAAAAATGAACAAGGTTGACATTTAAAATTTTTCAAATATCTATTAAAATAACTGTCCTAGAGCAGGTGAAAGTTTGCATTTTTACATTGAATATTGCCATTGAAAACATAAACAACAAATAGTAATACAAAAACCCTTTTCAATTTTGTCCTTAACTAACCATATCTTATCTAAACTCAGTGGCGCTAACGCTGTGCCAAACTTTGTGTCAAAGTGTTGATCAACACAACAAAAACCTAAACAAAGCGCTAACACAGACTCGTGTAGATGTAGTTCAATGCAAACTATACATTAGTCTCCAAATAATTCGTCCAAAAAAGTGTTCAAAACTGCAAACATTAGGCGCCGTATAGAAGCGGATGAAGTAATCAGACGCCACTGAATCTAAACTATAAATACTGTTGAATACTATGACACTAGTTATTATAGTATAAAAGTCCTTAATTCAGATGTATGAATATGAGTTTTCATAACTTTTCCAAGTTTTATACAAATATATAAAACTGACAAAAATATGAGACAATCATTAAGTCAGTGATTGTGTCAAATAAAAGCCTTTGGATCCGTAAAACTGATCCAAAATGTCAGTCACATTGAAAAGAGAGGCCATCTTCACGGCTAAAGCGCCCAAACCTATGATGGCGTACTCGCAGGCTATACGTGCCGGTGATTATGTGTTCGTGAAGGGACAGGTGTCCACCGATATCACCACCAATGAGCTCATACTGGAACCGCTCGAAACCCAATACGAACAGACATTCAACAACGTGTTGGCCATTACGGTGGGCGCCGGCGGTTCAGTGGACGACATCGTAAAGCTGGACATCTTTGTCAAAGACTTGGACTCCTTTCCCATTATCAATAAAGTGATGGAAAGGCTGTTCCCGAAGCCATACCCGGCCCGCACATAGCCGTGACCGAAGCCGCCGGTGGAACGGCTCATGATATCGTAAAACTGGGAATATTTGTCACAGATATCCAACAAATCCAAGCCCTCAATGAAGTTACAAAGAAAATATTCCGTGAGCCCTACCCGGCCCGCAATGTCGTGCCCGTCAATAAGATACCCCGCGGCGGGAACATTGAAATCGATGCCATCGTATATTTGCCACAAAATAAATAAATAACTTTTGTCTTAACATGTTGTTTTTATAATTAAACACTTTTATTCAATTTTGTTGACAACTATAAATATTTTATAAAAACTAACATTTGTAAGAAACTTTATGTTATAATAATTTTTACAGTGTTACAAGTTATATAATTTATTTTAATATTTACTAATAACAATAAATTCTAATTTATTCCAAATATTCTTTAATTGATTTCATTTTCTCCATAAACTATTTCCACAGAATCGCTAACATTAATGAAACCGTTTGAAAGGTGACCATAAATGTTGCCAAATGTGGGCGTTTTATTTCTGGGTCCGGGTTTTGGAGGTCGTACTCTAATGTAATACAATTTATAAATTCAGTACTACAATCATGATAATAAATATGATTTAATTAGTATAGGCTTATCCAATAATTAGTTCTAATATGAATATCATAAAATAAAATTCCACAAGAATCAGAATATTCTATAAAATGCAATCCTTATACATTTAGAGGGCAAATATTCTTATATATTTCAATATAAAATGTATTATTTCATTACTAATATTTAAATGAAATCTATTGATATTTAATGATTCATGTTTTTATGCCAAAAATTTGATAAAAGTTTAAAATTACTCTACGAATTTTTGAATTGATACAATATATTCAATATAAATATATGCTGTGCAATGCATAAGAATTGGATTTCACAGAATATTCTGATTCGAGTGGAATTTTGTTTTGTGATATTCTTTTTAATCTCAAATTATAGAATACACACATACAGTACTAATTAAATCTTAGTTATTAACAGTTGATAAGCATATTTCCTACTTAGAGTTATATAGTTAGATAGATATATTAGAGTTGTATAACTTTTACTCACTTTTTTAAAGTTTTAAAAGTATCCACTTTAGCACCAGTTTCTGGATCAACACATATAGTGGGGCAGCGGTCACAGGATATGAGCATTAAGAAGTTGACGCCATTGATTCGCATCCATTTCCAATTGTCTTCAGCCCACGGCTCGGGATATTCGACCAAAACAGCTGGTCTGAAATTGTCGTACGAGACCTGATCCTCGCCCTCTGGGAATTGGGAATTCAAATCATTGACTGAACTCTCGTTAACCAAATGTAAACCGGATCTGTTTTGATATATAATTGGAAAGTCTTTGTCATCTTTGCGACGTTTGCTTGAATCTGAGTCTCTGAAGTCAAAGCTGTGGTGATGTTGTAGTAATCGTACGCCAGGTCTACCTATAAATGTCTCAAACCATTGGTTTGCTTCCGGACCGCAATCTATTCCTTTGATCACCTGTCCGTCCATTTGTTCTGATGAATTTGGAGTATACATCCTAACATTGAGAATATTATTGGAAAACTATTATAAAAATACTTTTATGTATTACTTGAATGAAATGATTTCGTGATTGTCATTGAGTTGTTCAATGTATGTGAGTTTAAGTGTTGGCATATCTGGTCCGTCAACCCATAATTGTTTGCCCATAATTCGCAACCTGGTCAATACAAATCTGGGACATCGAGGGATTTCAATGACTCGGTTTGAATTTTCTACTAATATCCAGGATCTGTTTTTATATAATATATAACTTTAAGAACTGGTCTAAAAGTTCAATTACATTGTATACTAACCTGTCCTTAAATATTCCGTATTTGACACCATATTTAGTAATCTCGAGCTGATTCACTTCCACTCCTTTAAGACCTTTGATCGGATATATGAATAGTTTCTTAACTTTACATACTTTGACAAAATGTTTGCGAGTCTTTCTATACAAATAAAACAATAATGAAGTGATGATCAGTACTAATATAGCACTTATGCATAGCTCGATGAATGGCAATTGAGTGGACATTAAGGTAAGTAAAAATTAAATTTATAATTTAATGTAATATAATGTGGTATTATATGTACTGTAAAGATAGATATAAACGTGAATGTCGCTAATATTCTTACTAATATTTTTATTAATGTTATCATCTCTTTAAGTAAAAATATTTTTTAAAATACTGACCTTCAACACAAGAATCCCCTAATTAATAAAGTCAATTGAGATTATTGAATAAACATTTATACAATCAAGATATTATAGTTACTCTAAATTAAATATTACAAATCAAAATGAATTTTATTTTATAACTTTGAAAATATGATTTAGTTGTTTCCAGAGATAAAACAAATGGCAGTCCAAAGCAATTCTTTAATTGATTTCATTTTCTCCATAAACTATTTCCACAGAATCGCTAACATTAATGAAACCGTTTGAAAGGTGACCATAAATATTGCCAAATGTGGGCGACTTGTTGTTGAATCCAGGTTTTGGGGGCCGGAATNGCTAACATTAATGAAACCGTTTGAAAGGTGACCATAAATATTGCCAAATGTGGGCGACTTGTTGTTGAATCCAGGTTTTGGGGGCCGGAATCTAATGATAAATAATTTTTTAAAATTTACCAAGTATAAACCTCATAATTAATTAGTTTGAATAGACCTTAATATGAATATTCATAAATAATAACTTAATACTAATATTTGAATTAATCAATAACTATCGGATCCGGAAAAAAGTTTCCGCAATGCCTTTGCTTTAGTAAAAATTTGATTATTTCTTAACTAGAACATTTACTTTTAATCGATTTAAACCCCAACTATGGTTTTAAGCATTACATGTTCTCCCGAAATAGCCGTGACCGAAGCCGCCGGTGGAACGGCTCATGATATCGTAAAACTGGGAATATTTGTCACAGATATCCAACAAATCCAAGCCCTCAATGAAGTTACAAAGAAAATATTCCGTGAGCCCTACCCCTGCAATGTCGTGCCTGTCAATAAGATACCCCGCGGCATTGAAATCGATGCCATCGTATATTTGCCACAAAATAAATAAATAACTTTTGTCTTAACATGTAGTTTTTATAATTAAACACATTTATTCAATTTTGTTGACAACTATAAATATTTTATAAAAACTAACATTTGTAAGAAACTTTATGTTATAATAATTTTTACAGTGTTACAAGTTATGTAATTTATTTTAATATTTCCTAATAGCAATAAATTCTAATTTATTCTAAATATTCTTTAATTGATTTCATTTTTTCCATAAACTATTTCCACAGAATCGCTAACATTAATGAAACCGTTTGAAAGGTGACCATAAATGTTGCCAAATGTGGGCGACTTATTTCTGGGTCCGGGTTTTGGAGGTCGTACTCTAATGTAATACAATTTATAAATTCAGTACTACAATCATGCTAATAAATATGATTTAATAGTATAGGTATATCTAATAATTAGTTCTAATATGAATATCATAAAATAAAATTCCACAAGAATCAGAATATTCTATAAAATGCAATCCTTATACATTTAGAGAGCAAATATTCTCATATATTTCAATATAAAATGTATTATTTCATTACTAATATTTAAATGAAATCTATTGATGTTCAATGATTCATGTTTTTATGCCAAATATTTGATAAAAGTCTAAAATTACTATAGGAATTTTTGAATTGATACAATATATTCAATATAAATATATGCTGTGCAATGCATAAGAATTGGAATTCACAGAATATTCTGATTCGAGTGGAATTTTGTTTTGTGATATTCTTTTTAATCTCGAATTATAGAATACACACTATAATACTGATTAAATCTTAGTTATTAACAGTTGATAAGAGTATTTCCTACTTAGATAGATAGAGTTATTATAGATACAGTTAGGTAGAGATATTAGAGTTATATAACTTTTACTCACTTTTTTAAAATTTTTAAAGTTTCCACTTTAGCACCAGTTTCTGGATCAACACATGTAGTGGGACAGCGGTCACAGGATATGAGCATTAAGAAGTTGACGCCATTGATTCGCATCCATTTCCAATTGTCTTCAGCCCACGGCTCGGGATATTCGACCAAAACAGTTGGTCTGAAATTGTCGTTCAAGACCTGATCCTCGCCCTCTGGGAATTGGGAATTCAAATCACTGACTGAGCTCTCGTTAACCAAATGTAAACCGGATCTGTTTTGATATATAATTGGAAAGTCTTTGTCATCGTTGCGACGTTTGCCTGATTCTGAGTCTCTGAAGTCAAAGCTCTGGTGATGTTGTAGTAGTCGTACTCCAGGTCTACCTATAAATGTCTCAAACCATTGGTTTGCTTCCGGACCGCAATCTATTCCTTTGATTATCTGTCCGTCCAAACTGTATGTATCAATACATTGAGAATATTATTGGAAAACTTTTATAAAAAATACTGTTATGTATTACTTGAATGAAATGATTTTGTGATTGTCATTGAGTTGTTCAATGTATGTGAGTTTAAGTGTTGGCATATCTGGTCCGTCAACCCATAATTGTTTGCCCATAATTCGCAACCTGGTCAATACAAATCTGGGACATCGAGGGATTTCAATGACTCGGTTTGAATGTTCTACTAATATCCAAGATCTGTTTTTATATAATATATAACTTTAAGAACTGGTCTAAAAGTTCAATTACATTGTATATACAGTACTGTACTCAGACTTCCAGACTACCCATACTTTTGAGTACATCAGCACTGAAATAACAATTTTTTAGATTGTTGGTTTTTTACAAGTTAACCATGTAAAATGTATTTTTTACTATTTTACAGTATCTTTGGCAAAATTATATATGAATCATATATAATTTTGCCAAAGATACTGTAAAATAGTAAAAAATACATTTTACATGGTTAACTTGTAAAAAACCAACAATCTAAAAAATTGTTATTTCAGTGCTGATGTACTCAAAAGTATGGGTAGTCTGGAAGTCTGACTGTACTAACCTGTCCTTAAATATTCCGTATTTGACACCATATTTAGTAATCTCGAGCTGATTCACTTCCACTCCTTTAAGACTTTTGATCGGATATATGAATAGTTTTTTAACTTTACATACTTTGACAAAATGTTTGCGAGTCTTTCTATACAAATAAAACAATACTGAAATGATGATCAGTACTAATATAGCACGTATGCATAGTACGATGAATGGCAATTGAGTGGACATTAAGGTAAGTAAAAATTAAATTTATAATTTAATGTAATATTTACTGTAGAGATAGATATAAACGTGAATGTCGCTAATATTGTTACTAATATTCTTATGAATGTTATGATCTTTTTAAAGTAAAAATATTTTTTTCACTACTGACCTTCAAAACAAGAATCCCCTAATCATGGCCTTAACATTATGACTTGATTAATACATAACTTTGGCACTTTTTACACTTTTTACACTTTCTAATCAGAGTGATTTATGATTACTAATAATAATAGTAATAATACTAGTTGTCTAAACAACTTACAACAGAGGTGTCCAGACATTATTTATTGATGTTTTTTACAGTTAATCCTAATTAATGTTATAGTATTGTACAATTTTTATAATCCTTTGCATTATTAGTTATTAATAATCTCTACTCATACATGTGTTATGGTATTTGTGTTTAGTTTTTAATAAAATGATTACAAGTACTGTAATAATACCCATTCTTACCCTCATGGACACTTCTGACTTACAACTATATAGCCTACTGTATAGGCAATGATGCTCTTATTTGTACTTAACTTATCTTAACAGATGTCCATAAAAGTCAATTGAGATTATTGAATAAACACTTATACAATCAAGATATTATAGTTACTCTAAATTAAATATTACAACTCAAAATTAATTTTATTTTATAACTTTGAAAATATGATTTAGTTGTTTCCAGAGATAAAACAAATGGCAGTCCAAAGCAATTCTTTAATTGATTTCATTTTCTCCATAAACTATTTCCACAGAATCGCTAACATTAATGAAACCGTTTGAAAGGTGACCATAAATATTGCCAAATGTGGGCGACTTGTTGTTGAATCCAGGTTTTGGGGGCCGGAATCTAATGATAAATAATTTTTTAAAATTTACCAAGTATAGCTAACATTAATGAAACCGTTTGAAAGGTGACCATAAATATTGCCAAATGTGGGCGACTTGTTGTTGAATCCAGGTTTTGGGGGCCGGAATCTAATGATAAATAATTTTTTAAAATTTACCAAGTATCAACCTCATAATTAATTAGTTTGAATAGACCTTAATATGAATATTCATAAATAATAACTTAATACTAATATTTGAATTAATCAATAACTATAATAATATTTGTTCTTAAGTTTTACTAACTTTTGTAAAGTTTCCAAAGTTTTGACTTTATCACCAGTTTTCTGGTTAACACTTGTATTGAGGCACCGGTCACAGGCTATAAGCCTTATGAAAGTCACGCCATTGATTCGCATCCATTTCCACTTGTCCTCAGCCCACGGCTCGCGGTATTCGACCACAAGATTAGGTCTGAAGTTTTCATCGATGGCATGATCCTCGCCCTCAGGGAAACGGGAATTCAAATCACTAATTGAGCTCTCGTTAATCAGATGTAAACCCGATTTATTTTGGTATATAATTGGATAGTCTTTGTCATCTTTGCGACGTTTGTATGTATCCGAGTCTCTGAAGTCAAAGCTGTGGTGATGTTGTAGTAGTCGTACTCCAGGTCTGCTTAAGAATGTCTCAAACCATTGGTTTACTTCTGGACCGCAATCTATTCCTTTGATCCTCTGTCCGTACAAACTGTTTATATATTGAGAATATTATTAGAAAATTATCATGATACAACTGTTTTGTATTACTTAATTGAAATGATGTTGTGGCTGTCATTTATTTCATCAATGTATCTGAGTTTAAGTGTTGGCATATCTGGTCCGTCAACCCATACTTCTTGACCCAAAATTCTGGTTCGAGTCAACACTAGTTTAGGAAAAGATTTCATACCAATGACATTGTTTGCATTGTCTAATAAAATCCATGATCTATAATTGTATAATTGTAAACATTAAGCGTCGTTTTTAAAAACTAAATTATAAACCTACCTGTCCGTAAATGGCCCGTATTTGACACCATATTTAGTAATCTCGAGCTGATTCACTTGCACTCCTTTAACCGCTTTAATAGGATATATGAATAGTTTCTTAACGTTACATACTTTCACATAATTATTCCGAGTCTTTCTATACAAATAATATAGTAATGAAGTGGTGGTCAGTACTGATATGCCAACGATGAATGGCAATTGAGTTGAATTTATCATTATTCATAAATATTTTGATATACTCTACTATTTATATTTGTAAACACATTAAACTAAAAATTCTAAAAGGGAATGTCACCAAAAATGCTATTATACAGTAACATTAAAGTAATGTTATTTTATAGTTAACCACTAACCTTCACAAGCAGAATTAACTATTCAACGTTACTTTTACGATTTGTAATCAGAGTCAATTATAAGTTGTATGATACTTAACTTATTTTGACAATTTTCCCTAGAATCTATTTATTGAATAAATATTTATATCAATATAATCATGTTAGTTATTCTAAATTAAATATATGCTAAATACCATATAATGTAAGAATTGTTTTATTTATAGCTATTGTATTAATTTTATAATAATCTATAATGAACTCAATTGTATTTGTTATGTAATCAACACTCGTTATGATTAATAAAATTATTCATTCTTATCTCAAAATTAATTTTAGTTTATAACATTTATTTTGTAAATATGTATTTAATTATAGTAACTTACAAATATAGAAAAATATTTATTTAAGTTCATAATGTGGTGAAACTGTCATTATTTGTGATACAGATATCACAGATAATTTTGGTTTAACATTTATTTTGAAATAAATATTTTTATGATTCTATAATTAAACATTATATTGTATTTTATTTGAATTTATCAAAGTTAATAATAATAATAATTGCTAATAAAAGATAGAAACACATAAAATTTTATAATTATTAAAATAATATTGTAATATCTACTTTATTACAGTTAATTAGTAAATAATTATGTAATTAATTCTAATTTAATTCACATATTTTTAATTGATTTCATTTTCTCCATAAACTACTT